GAGAAGTGTTGTTGAAATGACTCAAGAATGTATCTATTAGAACAACGTAAATTCAACCAAATACATTTCATGCAGTTTAAATGGAAAACAGTTATTGCCATAATAAACAGTAAGTATAAATATTGCTGATGGTTCATAAATTGGGACGATGTGGTAATGTTTTGCCCCTAAAGTTTTACCAAAATAGATATGGCTGTATACTGCAAATTATCTGTTTGCATAGTCACTAAGGATAATGTTATTATGTAACACATATCGCACAGACATGAATTCTGGACTTTATCAACAATTTTACGCGCAAAGCTACACAAAGGCTATCTGCGATAGCCGTCCCTAATTTAGCAATGAAAGACTAGAGGGAAGGCAGCTAGTCATCACCACCCACTCTTTTATCAACAAATAGTGAGATTGACAGTCACATTATAACGCCCCCACGGCTGAAAGGGCGAGCATGTTTGGTGGGACGGGGATTCGAACCAGTGACCCGCAGATTGCTAGTCGAGCGCCCTAACCACCTGGCCAAGATTAAGTTAAAGGATATTTTGACAATTTTTCAACATGACCTCCCTAAAAATTATGCATTAGTGGTGTTGTGCTTTAAATTATCATTTCAATAGTTTTCCCAATATATTTCAATTATCATTGAAAATTATAGCCAAAACATCTCTAGCGGGTACATGACGAAATTAGTCGACACTGCATAACTATCGAAGTACCGTGATATAAACTGCAGAATGCTTTAAGGAGAAATTTTAACACAAGGTCTGGGATTATTTGCTACATATATCTATACAAAATAAGAAGTACCCCTTTTGTTTTAACAAAACTCATTTTCTAGGCCCATATTTCAGTTCAACATATGGCCTAAAAGCAGAGTTTACCTTGGCACTGTATCAAGTAACCATCGTGAATCAATTTGAAAAAGTTTCGCAACATGCCATGAACTACTTTTGGTACTTTTTTTTTCATCAATTAATCGTGTAAAAATGGCACTAGATTTGTTACAATTATCAAGTACACATAGGTTTAAAGGAGTGTCAAAGCGTACTGCTTGTTAACCAACAAGGTATCATTTATAGTTTTCTATAGTAGGTCTTCTTTTCCAGGATGTCATGGAAGCAACCTGTATACATTTGTTTCGCTTTTATTCATAGAGATCATTCTTTATTATTTTAAGTACTGTTTCGTAGGGCATGTGGACTGGTTTTACCTTTGACACCACACTTTACTTGCCATGTCTGAGGAACAACTTGCTGTAGATATCTTTCTGGATGATCCTGGTACACCAAATTATTCCATATTTCTGGTTTCCAATGCCATTAAATACAAGGCACATACACATCTTGGAAATTCTAAATCCCTGATTTGAACAGATCTTTACTAATATTTTGCTTTGAAAATGGTAATTACACAACCTTCCTAAAATAGATTAATTTTTGGAGACTTTGTTTCCAGTTGTTCTTAAGCTCAAAGCTACACAATGGCCTATATGTACCATGCTTATTGAGGATATCAAAACCTAATTTTTAGCGTTAATACCCACAGATTTACAACTGAGTAAATTCTAAACAGTAAAAATATAGTTCTGATGCAATCCGTTCCACCGTGACTTTATATCAGCTTGGCTTTCATGTGAAATGCTGATTTGCATATGCAAAATCGGTTTAATATAAAGTACTCAAATCTTTGTATAACAAAGGGTGACCCTTTTAGAACAATTAATTTTGTTACATCAATATGTTTGTTTGTACTAAATGTTTTAACTAAGTTTAAATTATTTTAAGCATATATATTAATTATCGCACCTTTATACAGACACCAGAAGATGTATTCCACTTTTATACACATCATACGACAACCCGCGTTAATGACACTTACATATATATATATATATATATACATATCAACCTCTTGCCCGAATGCTGTGCTAGACATCAGTATTGGGTGACTTATTTGTTACGATAGCCAATTAATTCTAAAAAAGTAATTAGTTGCAAAGGAGTTTGTTTGTTTTTGAATTTTGCACAAAGCTACACGAGGGCTATCTGCGCTAGCCGTCCCTAGTTTACCAGTGTAAGACTAGGGGGAAGGCAGCTAGTCATCACCACCCACCGCCAACTCTTTTACCAACGAATAGTGGGATTGACCGTCACATTATAATGCCCCGACGGCTGAAAGGGCGAGCATGTTTGGTGGGACAGGGATTCGAACCCACGACCCTCAGATTGCGAGTCGAGTGCCCTAACCACCTGGCCGTGCAAAGGAGTAAAATAGGACAGCAATTGCACGTTCTTTTTTAATATTTCATGTGAACCTACTTGGAAATAAAATATTCCAGAAATTTAAGTTTCAAATTGTACAAAATTATTAGTACGAATATCTTATATACCCAATATATACATCATCTGAGGTACAATGTGTATATTCATACTACGATCCATAAATATGTATTCCTACGCTAGTAATAGTATTATGGCAACTCCAGTGTTGTTTTTCAAGATGGTAAGTCTTAGAACCCATTTTAAACCTCGATTTCCAGAAACTTTAAATCAACCATTTTCCGCCAGGTTCTGTCGCTGACAAGATGAAATAAATCGAAAGTCAGAAAGTTGGCTCCACACAATATTAAGATGGATTGTAACTTCTAAGGCTTTTTCGTTATTTTCTGTTACCAATATTTTAACTTTAATAAAAACTGTCTATCGAAGTTTCGACTTACTATCTCATGGTGATGGTTTAAACGATTTTTATGGAAAAACAAATGTATCAAATGTGCAACTACACTTTTCATACCAGTGGTAAAGCATTATTCTATATCTATATATATTATATACACATTCGTATATAGATATTGCTCAAAATAGTTAAAAGGATAATCAAGATTCATGTTATAGCCATGATAAAGCAAAAACGACTTTTGTAAAAACATCAATCAACTCCTTCAGTTATGCAAATCAGGCTTCTGATGAGCAATTACGTGATCTGAGAAACGTTTCGTGTTGCAGAGAAACACAAGTTCAATATTCGACATTCAATGATGACAGACACGATAATATTTACAAAATAACACTCAGTCATCTGCTACTTTTTGAAGCAAGCTTTTCGAGCAATTTCTGGTTTGTTACGGTGAAATTCTGGATCACGAAATTTTAAATTTCGGTAGCTCCAACATCTGGTTTCGTCCCCACGAACAGCAAAGGCAGCGTAGCATGAATGTTGCATCTTAAACAACATATCATGACTTTTGGTATATTCGAGCTCTCCTCTGAAACAGATGTTTGCAGAGAATCTGGAATCACATAACAGGAAAATGTGTCACCTTATTATCCATTAAGCTAAAGTTAGGGTAAGATGCTTCATCATAAGGGATCCACAGATGTTTCCTCCTGCCACATCATACTGACATCACATTACGTGCGAGATACGTTCCTGTGTGAAAATAGGGCTGGACATGTTTCTTCTCAGTGCCACTACAAGCGAATTGTTTTTACCTTGTCGAAAATGGAATATACCCCACTAGGCATCTAGCGTACTTGTAAAACCAGTTTCCAGCAATACATTTGCATGGCGCACTGCTGAGGTCACGTAAACATCTGATAAAGCATCAGAACAGGTATTCTACAGTTGCTGCGAGCCAAAATCAACATATACCGGAAGTCTGTTCGCATTGTGAATGACAAACTGCTTTCTTTAGATATCTGAACAACTGTATCCTTGGCTTGGGAGCAGTTCCACTTTCTAATAATGACATACGCAGCCAATTCATAACAGCCTACCCTGACTTCTAATTGTCTTATGCCTCTCATGAGTGAAACATCCAAATGCTTTCTTTAAAGTTTATGGTTTCAGGTACAACTTGGAATACGCTAAACTCTGTAATCCATTTGAAATAGAAAAGAATGTTTAAGACCATTACATACAACACAGGTTCAATGACCAATATGAATGGTGTTTTACTCCACATACGGTTCAAACGGCCAGGGCATCTTCTAATGTTCAGACACAGCCATTCGCTATACAAAAATACTGATCGGCGAGGAAGAGCATAATTATTAAATTTAAAATGCTCCTACAGTTATAAGTGCAATGTGTATTTAGCACAATCCTACGGTTCTAACGATGGGTCTTCTGATAGACAACTCAGAATGCTAACCAATAGGCCATATCTAGACTCATTGACCAATCATTTGCATTTCAGATCATCAGATGCTCAATTTGCACAGCAATGAAATAATGAGGTGATCGATATTTCATATCAGGGGCTTGGCCTTGTCATTTCCTATAATGTTACAAATTACCAATACATATTGTTTTGTGCAGCATATTTCTCAAAAGTTCAGTGAATACTGATTTTCAAGATAATCAGTCTCTAAAAGTTAAATATTATTTGAAATTGTTAGCTCCAATGATGTCTAGCCTTTTTATTAATTATTTAGGTTTTTGCTATAATTACAAAATATCACAATATAGCAATGAATAATAAACTACCTTCCCTAACATTTTTCACTTTCCCGGAAAGAAATGCTTTAAAAAAATTTATCAATATCTTATAAATATAATTTGTCTAGTCTACTGCGAGATATATAAAATTAACACTTATTCTGTGTGTGGCCAGGAGATTAGTCTGATGATACTCAATCCTAACTCCAATAGGCCCATTCATAGGAGAAAGAAAATTAACGACGTAATATTATACGAAAAAAAATTGGAAATAAGATTTTACTTATGCTATAATTTTGTTTTCTTTTACATACATATATTGAGGGGAGGGATCTACAAGATCATCATTTTTAGTTGACTTATCGACTGTCGAACTTTTTTAACTGTGTTTCAAAATCTTGTCCAAATTTAGAGGTACAAAAGGGCAGAAACAGAATTTAATACTTTTTTCTGTTAAGAAGTGTTACATATTTTTGAAGATTATGCAGTAATTCGTTATCAGTAAAGTTAAAAATATATATAAAAACTATTTTCTAGTAAAAACTCAGTCATGAACACAATCTTTTTTAACTCTCCTTATTTATTGGTGCGCAAAAACCCAAAACAGCTTCCATAAAGCCACGGGTAACATAAGAACTGCGACTTGGCAAATACCTGTAGAGTTTGGTTAATAATAGATTTTCCTCTTTCTTTCAAAATATAGCATTACCTTAACCAATAGCTACAAACTCATCATCATATTCATATCCCGTCAGAGCCTCTAAAATGAATAAACAAACGTTACATGCTACAATACTCCCTCTGTCGAGGCCGACGGGGATTTTTTTTGTTTAAATATGTAATGTTACTGCGAAAAAAAAAAGAAAAAAAAGGGGGTCACTTAACCGACCCATGGCCAAATGTCATAATAATAATAATAACACAAGTAGAAAATGTCAAATTTCTCTAAACAGCCGGCTGGAATGCTGTATTTTCCCTTATCTTTGGGCAACTGAAGTATACATCTTTAAACGCCACTGACACACAAACGAGGTTTATTTAAAAGCTTTTTCTATGCACAAGCTTTGTAGGTAGAAAATCTGGTTAAAAACTATTGAGTTTCATCTTTCAAAATTACACCTGGTAACACATTCCGGCAGGACAAACTTTCACACACTTAAATACTTTAAAACCTCTTTTTTTTTTAAATCTGTACGATACTGAAAATTTTACACATTTTAATTCATAAATACAGCTAGCAACAGGAAGCTTTCCAGCCTGCAAATGTTTAAAATGTTTTGTTTAGGATGAGATATGTGTCGTCCAATGAATGGTGAATACACGTAACATTTTGTTTTCATAATCAGTTACAAACAATATGAACTTGACAAGAATTCCTTTGAAAAGTGTTTTCTAACTTCACGTAACAAGTAAATTAGCAGAACTTTAAAAGTAAAATTCCTTAAACAAGCAACTGTTTCTTGAATTTCACCATCCTGATATATCTTACTGTTATTACAAAATTAATGAAGTCACCATACGTAAAATTATGCTAACCAATGCAGATATTCTATCTTTAACTTAGCCTGCATAATTTAAATTTTTGTGTTCGAAAACACTGTGTTAATTATTCGTCGTTTCCAAAAAGCATCGAGTGAGTTTTTTTCGGTATATATATATGTCATATTGCCTCTGGGAGATGGCTTAGTTCCATAATAAAATATAAAGTGCTAATTCAATACGCGAAAACAAAATCCGCTTCACCCAGGCACAACAAAGGCTGATGTACATTAGCTTACCGCAAATTACCTCACGAAAGGAGTTGGTAAAAGAAAAAATAATGAAAAAGACGCCTAGGTCCGGGAAGCAATACTGGTGAGGGAGTTTAAAAATATTTTGATTTTCAGTTTTTATAAACGTAAAATAACGTAGGCAGTTAAATAACAAAACATGAAACATACCTCACTTTCAAGAAAACAAAACAGATGAAACCTATAGTAATATAGTCCATGGTCAAAGTAGGCCTCCTTCTGACAAACAAGTCGTTAACGTCATATGTTTTTGGCACACAAGTTTGGTGAATACGGCTGGGTAGAGCGCTCCCTACCGACAACCAACATCTTTACACAGAGGAATCTTTTGAGCCATTATATTTCAACAACATATATTTAGCTTTTAATATACAGCTTGCTCATAGTGTAATAACTTATATATCATTTTCTCCAGGTACTAAGGAACATCAAATAACGTCTTACTTTTTTTTTGTGGTGCCTCACCACTGTATCCATGACGCCCCCACTAAAGATGCTTTCTAATTTACAAATTTTTAATCTTTCATAAGAATTAGCGATATATATAGAAATACAATTATAAAAGAAATGCAAGTCATAACAGTCGAATTCTTAACACAAACTACAGCTGCCACCTTTGTTTGGGGTTTTCTAATTATATGGCTGAAGTTCCTACATTTGCCATTTCATTAAGGGAAAAACCTACTGAAAATAAGTTTAAACATCTTTTAAAATGTTTCAACGAGTAAGTGGTTCATTAACATATGGTATTAGCTTTGACAAAATTTCCTGTTTCGAGAGGAATAAATATGATGTACTTTAAACCAATGCTTGCTTGCGCGTGGGTGGGTACATTCAGTTCTCTGCAAGCTCTTTTTTTTTCAATGACTTGACTAATGACGTCATGGGTACAGCGGCTAAGAAGAGTTCTCTGCTGAAAAAATAATCCACAAAAATATTCAAACAGACTGTGATAACATGATTTGCGTGCCACAACAACGACTTCTATGTAGAAACACATACTACAGGGACCACACTTTGACCGGGGCACAACTACACCTACATTTGCTACGACAGTTATACCTACAATGAATCCACGAACCAGAAACAACAAACCGGAAACACTGGTGACGTCACAGCAAAACTGGGTTACAACTGGATAAACACACCACGCTTAAGGCAGTCAACTCACTGCAAATGTTTGATATACTGTGTCTTTGGTTTTGTTTTTGTTTTACATCGACACAAGAAACGCTCTTTGTAAAAAAAAACCTTCCACAAGGAGACTAGATACAGAATTTTTTCAACAGCATCACCCAGTAGTCTGGGTCTTTACTGCATAAAAAGCGTCCTCTAGTGTGAAAAAGGTTTATCATGTGTATTTATGGAATAATACTGGTGCAAGTATTGGGTTATAGGTCTCTTCACAGTTACTAAGCTCGTCTTCAAAGTACCAATACTGTATTTACGAGTGTGTTTACTAACCTAGGCCAGGCTTTAATTTCTAACTACAAAATTAATTTCTGTCATTACTGATATTCAGTTCAGCAAGAAGTTTTGAAAATGATCAGACTCTTTTTGTCTTTCTGTATTTAATATTTCGTCTATCAATCAGTCAAAACTCTGAATCTAGTTCGTCTACCTGGCCGGAAAAGCAACTGAGCGACCACTTCATGAAGTGGTGAAAACCTAGGCTTTTCTCTTGACTTTTCGAGCAGGAAAAGGTGTTATTCACTGCATGCCCGCCAATTCAGGTGCTAAACATTGTACACATTTGTGTGAATACATTTTTTGTTCCTAATTTTAAAGTTAAATAAAAACTTAAGAAAAACAACAACACCCCAACCTCTTGGTGTCTAGACATAACTACAATGCGATAACATACTGGAAATTAAACACAATACATACTTAGGTCAGCTGCCACATATAGTGGACAAAAAAAAACCCTTAAAACTACAGAACGTTACAAGTGTTGGGCTCCAAAAACACCATTTAAACAATCAAAACAAACATATTATAAGCCACTACAAACCAGAACAAAAATGAAAATATTCCCCAGTTTACATTTATACGAGAATCTAGGCTGATAACTCAATTACCACAACATTAATTTTGTACAAGGGGACGGTAGTAGTTTCTATAAAGTATTCCAATCAAGTTAGGCCTAACTGCTAGGATCTCCACTGACGTTGCTTAAACAACTACCCGTTCTGGTTGCCATCTGGTGACACTTCCAAAAATAAATTTTAAGAAAAATAAAAAAACAAAAAGGCTTCACACTCACGACACCCCACAAAGTGTAAGGTACGTGGCATATAGGACAGGGAGAAGAAGTTACAGCACACCACTGCACTGCACGGGTACAGGAGACACAGGTCACGTGAAATGCACCAAGTGGACAGTCTACGGAAGAAGAAACAAACACAGGTGTTAAACTAATTTCCAACATAAAGTGCTGCCCCCTGGTGGACAAAAATACAATTTTATAAACAATTTGTGTTTCAACATGACTAACTATTGATTTAAAGCATTCAACTGAATACACATACACACATGAACCTACAAATACATTATACATATTTCAATTGAGGTCTTGTTACATAAACCACCACCAGAGGGCAAACGATGGACACTAAAAACAACAAACTTTCAGAATTTGTTTTACAGTAAAAACATATATGGGTAAAACTAAAAACAGTTTATAGCTACATCACTCACATGCAATGAAAACAATATAAAAAACAACAACAATCAAATATGTTATTTGATAATTTTCTATCATAAACTTCAAGTAGAAAATTTTAAAACCATTCTCTATAAAGGTAGTGACAAGTTTCTCAAGCTGTCTCTATGTTAGAAAACAGTGATTAGATCTTTTTTGTAAGATTTTCAATACTCCGTGTAATCAAATTGTTCGTTAACCCTATTTTCACGGGTGGGGGTCAAAGTGTATATGGCACAACCTTTTGCAAAGTGCTACTCTACAAGGAATTATATATTTGATATCAGAGTTATCAACTATTCAATTTACCCTATATTTCTGATGTAGCGACAATTTGTGGTAGAGGAGGGTAAATACCAGAAAAGATATACAGGGATAATGTAGAAAACAAAAACAACTATAGATACACATTTCAGAGGTTCTAGAGCTTATGCAGATATAATATGTAAACTATATGATGGCCAAAACTACTTTTATTCTCCATATGAACATAACTTGCACTCAGGCTTGTCAGAGTCATACTGACGCCATCACTTCACATACATATCCTGAGTGCAAATACTTTTGTAAGATATATGAATTTCTATGTTCATTTTCCTAAAGAATGGCCACATTTTGTGTAGATACATGTAGTAAATTCAGAATTACACTGGTCGACAAAACGAACTTTTTTCTATTATCAAAGATGTAAACACATTTTTCTAGACCAGTATGCACACTGATTCCAAATCTGTTTTCACTTTTTTTATAGTACATCTAGTTATCGAAATATGACCAGTGTTAATTTCAGCACAATTTAGGTAATAATCACACATTAGGCTAGTTAACGTTACAGCTTTATTCATTTTTTCAGTATAATTCTCACAAACGTTATACACACCATACACTTGGTTAAATTTATACAGTACACACTTATGAAAAAAGAAATGTACAACAACTTAAATTATAATTAAAATTAAATTCAAATTTGATCGGTCTCATCACGAAAACTTGACATGCTAGAGGAAAACCAAAAACAGATTTGGAATCATCGTCCCAAGAGCTATCTAGTTCACCTATAATTATATCTGATGAAAATGATTCGTTGGCCAGTGTTACAGTCTACATTGCTTTACCAAGACGGATTGACCATGTGCACATTCAGAAAAAAGAAAAGAAAAAAGTTTGGAGTGCAGTTGTTGTACTCTTCTTTGTTATATGGTTAATGTACTTTTATGAACTATTCATTACAGTAACACAGTATTCTGAAATTACTTAGGATTACAAAAAAATTGTTTGGCAAATGGTTTTCGGTTTACAAAATAACAGTTGTTGTAAATGTTATATTAATCTCCATCTGTTGACTATTTTAACAGTGTTGACAAACATTAGAACCATGTCTGCTGGTAACATGGTAATTTAAATGATAAGATATTTGAACAGTGTGATTATTACAGACAAATAGGTTTTAATTTTGTCATTAACATAGTACTTTCAGCAGTAGGATATTCAAATAGTGTTATCCTCACACACAAATATATTTTAATTTTGCTGTTAACATGGTATCCTAAATGATAGGATATTCAAATAGTGTTATGATTACATATAGTTATATATATAAACAAACTTATAAAATTAAGTCTCCATGGCTCTACTAATTTTGAAAAGCAGAGAGTTAAAAGTTCCCCCAATTCCAACCTTCTAAAAACAAACAAACAAGAATGCTACAAGACTTAGTCAACAGCTATTATTTCAAGGACTTACAACTAATCTATCAACATAGCTATATAAAATAGAAAATAGCAACTACCGAGACTCTTGATGGCAAGAAGTAAAGACAATGTTGAAATATCTGAAAGTTTATTCTTACATAAACTGAAAGAAAAACCTTCACCAAAAATGGATCATCATTTTATAAATATATTTAATGGAATTACTAGTGAAAATAACTGGAACATCACTTCAATGTTATCCATATATATGTTATGTCCTTTTAAAATGCCTATGTTGATACAATAAAATTCACGCACAACATGAGTGAAATATAAAACATATATTTCAAATAAATGAACAAAACAGATAAATATTCACACAGAAGAAAACATGTATGGTTGACATAGTGGGTAATTCATGTCTATGGATATGCACATATTTCACAAATGAAGAGGCAGAGGAAAATAATTGTCAATGGTACATAATGAGGTGTTGTTGGCCTATCTTTATGACAGTCTGAGGTCATTTAAGGTCACGTTCTTCAAAGTTTTCCTAGATAAAAAATGTCGTATACAAAGATGTACACAGTAACAAGCAGTTTAATCCAAAAATTTCCAATATTGCTTCACAAAAACAATAATTATAGGCATAAGTGCACTGTGTTTCCTTATAGCAAAGCCACATCAGGCCATCTGCTATGTCCACTGAACCCCTGATTTTAGTATTGTAATTCCGCAGACTTACCGCTGTCCCACTGGGGGATGCATAAGTGCAAATGAGTTAATCATTCCAACAGCATTACAAAATGGTGGCAGAAAATCAATAGCTGTATTCAAAAATCTGATCAAATGTGAAAAATGCCAATATGGTGGCTCCATTGTCAATATTGGTAGTACACAGCCACTGATACACATTTCCTGTCATCTGATGTAATGGATGACATTCATCTGTGAATCATTTAGCATACAACCTGACACAGTGCAGGCATTTTCGGGACACACTCTTTACAGTAGGACTTGTTAAACTGTGCCATTATTTCAAAGATTTAGAAGAAGTACGATATCTATATTTGATCTTTCACCTCAAACCAAGGTTTGAAAAACAAACTTTGTTGTGGTTAGATTAAGGTTTTTTTGTGGCACAAAGCCATATACATGCCAAGGGTGCATTTATTTCCATAACTGTTATTATTTTGGTAATTTTTGGTGTATGATACATATTAAAAGTTCTGAGATATGACCTTGAAGATAATATTGAATTACCCCAATGATATTGTCACAGGATAAGTCCACAAGTTCTGGTTCTGTACCACTAACAATTATTTTCCAGTACCCTTCCTTTCTGAACTATTAGCCTGTCAATGGGCTTCTTGATCATTTTGTTTAATTCTTTTCTAGATTAAACATTTTCTCTTGATATCGTTAGTTTAATAAATATGATTCAACAACTGGGTGAGAACTGACTCACCACTATCTTAGCTGTAAATATTCAGGTAAAATGCACATTAGCATTTTGTGAAATGCATTACATTTCATTCTGCCTTACTAAAAAAAAAAAGAACTATTTGAAAAATTTGTTAAGCTTCTTGTAAAATATCACCACCTACAGGCTCTCCAGAACCCTGATACTGTGTATTGAAATTTTCGTAGTTAAATCCAAATTTACACAATTTATCACACTGTTGATTAGCTAGCATTTTTCTAATTAGAATACAACATCCAGAAGTAACTATAAAATAACATTTTATGCAGCTCTTACCTACCATTTTACATTACATTTTATTGTTATTATTAATTATGCAGTACTTCTTGTATATCCATTGTATTTTATCCCTCAAATAATTTTCAAATTCCTTCAAATGATGGTTTTGTGTTGTAATTTTTTATATTTCATATATTATTAGTGTTATCTTACATATGAATTATTAACACCTTTCTTTCTGTCACATAGCAGTTGGTAGAGTGTTAAACAGTGATCATGTGCAATGTGCTGATTAAACTTAATGTACAATACTCTGCTTGAAATTCTGTAATAAATATTTAGAATAAAGTATATATTGATAGTTACTTGAGTTTACACATCTGTTTGCTTCGAATAAACTACTAAACATAGGCAACACATTTGGGTTATTTAGATTTACACATACTGATACTGTTTTGCTTGAAATCCACTGATTAATTTACTAGTACATTGTTTATATTCAATCAGACTCTTTTGTTTGGAATACTTTATAGGTTGGACTTTAATCATTTAGCTGAAAAAGTACAGAAGCTGATTATGGGTTGGAATTTAATCATCTTGCAGAAAAAGGCTAGCATATAAATGTGGTTCAGAATACCACCAATTGATTGAAAAAGTATAGTAGTTAACTACAGGTTAGAATTTAATCATCTAGCAGAAGGTTAGCAAATAAATTTGGTTAAAAATGTTACTAATTGGCTGAAAAGTATAATGATTAACTACAGGTTGGAATGCAACCGTTTGGCCCAAGAATTATAGTATTTAACTATATAAGTTGGAAAGCCATCATTTAGCTGAGGAAGAGTAGTAGTTACCTTGGGGTAGAAATTAATCACTGAGCTGAATTAGTAGGCACAACATAGTTTATATATTGATTTATTGGACAAATGAATCTTTGTTTATATTTAAGCACAAAGCTGCACAATGGACTATCTGTGCTCTGCCAGTCACAGGTATCGAAACCTAGTTTCTAGCATTATAAGTCCACAGATATAACACTGTGCCACTGAGGGGCACAAATGGATCTAACTGAATCTAGGAGTTATACTGGATGAATGGATTTATGATAGACATCAACTGTTGGGATCAAAAATGCAGAAAAGCAATTGCTGTCTCACCAAAGAAGATGAGAAAAACTTGACAATAAAGTACTGGTTTCATATATATATATAGATATATATATTTTATGCGTGTGCTGTAAAGGTACAGTACTAACCAAAACCAGGTCACATGTTGTTTCATTTTCACTTCACAAAATCCAATTTCCAGGAATCACCTCCATAAGAATTTACCTCTCCAAAATCAAATCTCAAATGGAATTGCTTCTGTGCATCATACTGTGTTGGAGCACATAAGCCTAGCACAGTTCAGCACACAACTATAACTAACACACTAAGTCTTGTTTTGTAACAAACTAGTCAGCAAAGGATTAGCTAGCCTTTAATAAATCCAACAATCAGATCATTTACATAACTTTCATTTTTTAAAGGTGTTTATTATTTTTGTTAACTAGGAATGTTACTGCATATCACTTTAATATTACTAATAAATTCAAATACTTTTGATTTATGAAATGGCACAACTGTGAAAACATTGATGTTCTGCTTTCTATGTAAAGTTCAGTTTACATGCATATCACTGAGCAACTATGCTAAGATAAAATACAGGTATTACAGGAGGAATGTGCCATTAATTTAATTTGTTTTTCTTATCTTTCTTTGGCTCCGATTTTCTTCTTGGGAATTTGTTTATCCAACTCTTATTTTTACAGTTCGTGTAAATCTGTCACTGAAATGTTTTATCTTTCTCAAAATACACACTTATATCAATTTTTGTAAATGTACGTTTGTATCATGTACATTTACACATATTCTTCATATTCAGTGCTTAGGTATAATACATATTGCATAAAGCACAATACAAAAGAAACTTGTATCAATAAAAAGTACCATAGAATTTGATGTTTAGGTTAAAAATGGTTGATATCATTACATGGGAATGTATACACAGTTATTCAATTTTGCAATCTTAACCAAAAAACCTCCTTTGTGAAGTTATACTTTTAAATTTATTGAATTAACACTAATTAGATATTAGATAATAAAACATTAAGTTCCAAAACATTGTTATCTGTTTTTAATACCTTTTCTGAACTTGCAATTATTATAATGCAGTAATTATGACAATGATTAGTAACTTTTTACTTTTGAATTTGCAATAATCTAGAATCGATATATTGCTATACTATTAAACAAGCTATTATAAATGTATTTAATAACTTTTTTCTGCTTTTAACATTTGTAGCTATTTTGTAAAGCTGGGCATTTAGTAAAATTTATAATAAATTTCATTCAACTAGTTGATTATTTTCACGAGACTTGGATAATTGGAATAACAGAAAATAGCAATAATTGAAAATACTAATTTTGACTAGTTGATTATTTCTATGAGTCATGAAACTAATCAATTACGCTGAACAACTTTTAATTAACCAAAAATAATAATGAGAAATCATAATGGTAGTATTTCGATTATTTGGATAGTTGGAATTATCAAAAACAGAAATAATCAGAAACACTAAATTCAATTAGTTGATTATTTTTGTGACACTAATTCAATGCTCACAGGTAGTCTTTTATATCAATTACTCAAGTTAATCGCCCAGTTCTACTATTCTGTAAGGCTAACCTTAAATTATTTCAAAGCAGCCTCAGTATCTAAATGTCTTGATTTATGTTCTAAACAAACTGTAAAATATTTCCATGTATTCTTTACATGTATAGGTTGTAGTTTGTTCAAAAAACACAGAGACATTACTATTTAGAAAAAAAACCATTATAACAAGAGCAGTAAGCAACAATACAATTTAATGTCTAAAGGTATATACAATGAGTTATTCCATTCGCAATGGTCAGTTAAGGCTTTGTTGGTAAAACTACAAACCAAAATACATACCATAAGAAGAATGGGTAGTGTGTTGGTCAAGGCAGTGGATACTATCAGTAGGGTTTACTGGCATCTTTTGACCGCTTAAGTTGTACCTTGAGTCGTTTTGTGCCAATCTGGAACCCGTTCATTGCCTGGATGGCAGCCTGAGCACTTACAGCATTATCATAACTGACAAATCCTAACAAATAAAAGAAGAGTTAAAAGTAATAAAACTTACACTATAAGTTTTGAGAGGTAAAATAGATGCCATATAGTTTGATACAAGAAACAAGCAAGAAAGTTATATATTCTCATATTTGTTAAAATAATTCTAAATTAAAGGAAATAATTGAAAAATATCCATTTAATTACACGATATTTTTTTTTATAATCCTGTAGTAAAAGGTATTTTGTGGTTTGTTTAATCACTTTTAGATTACTAAGATTCAATTAATTCAAACTGTGGCTCAAAGTTTCATATCTTTCACTACATTTACTATGCAATTAGTTTTCCTATATCCTTACTGTAACTAAACAAATGTTATAAATTCTAACATAATATAACTTTAAGAGACATTCTAAATAAACATTATATCATTAACCAACACCTCCATGCTATTATCTTTGAACTGTACTTATTTCTCTGAAGTTATCTTTTATTCAAAATGTTGGTTAAATTGGCATAAACACAATAAATTTACGTTATTCAAACCACTGAAAAGATCCATCAAAATAATAAATGAACACAAATATTCTAGACTGAAAACATATTTGAAGTTAAAAAAGAAAAATGGGAAAATAAATTTATAAAAGTTTTATTGCTCACATAAAAAATGTTGCTTGAAATTTAGAGAAGCTTTAGTTTTTATAAGGTGTTTTAAGATGTATTTTAAACTTTCTTTGTATTTTTCTTCATATTTTCCAGTTTAATAATATCAACAAAAGGCATACCAAAACATTTGCTGAGATTAGTCTGTTTGTCAATAAAGACCTTAGCAGAAATCACATTTCCAAAAGGAAGAAAGGTTTGGGCAAGATCACTGTCTGTAAATTCCTGGGGAAGATGGTAGATGAACAGGTTGGAACCTTCGGGTCCTATAGAACACATAAAACAAAAACATTTCTTTATAGGTTTCAAATTTCAAAAATAAAGCTTTACCACTGTGATAAAAATTACTACAAATAGATGCATGTAAACATCACTATTAATGTAACTTATACATAATATCGAACATCGTATTCTGTATTGAAAAAAATACATAATCCATAAATTGTGAGTGTGTGTTTGTGTACATATTTATCTTTATTTTACAATTATTAGAACATAAAGGCATATTTTTGGACATAGAAGATCTAAAAATTATTTGAAACATAACTAACTTTATACACTGTATTGCTGATTTATGTACTTACCTTCTACTTGTTTTCCTACTGGGCTTTGAGACTGCTGTAATCCAACTTGGGTAAAGGTTCCTGGCAAGGCAGCTATAAAACAATATTACAGAATGAAGCAGTAAATTTCAACATAATATCATGTTCTACAGAGAACAAATAACTTAACAACAAGATCAGGAATCATATTGTATTCATGAGAAAAAAGCAGTCAATATGTTAAATAATACAATATTTCAAGATGAACATTCAACTGTAACTCAGTGTAGCTTTTGATACTGAAATTTCAATACGATGAGACAAAATACAAATACAAAAATGCTACTTTTTAATACCAATATTGATAAAACACTTGATAAAATTCAGATACATAACACACACACACAAATCACTGGCAATAGGTTATATATATAAAAATTTCACTAATCAGCTAAGTGTTATACATGTTTGTTTCTAGAAATAAGAAAATAAATGAAACACAATGCAATATTTAAATGTTCTCATGCTACAAATCAAAACCAGTTACAAAGTTATAAGTTCCTACAGATTTCACTGTCATTACCCACCTAATAAGTTTGATGAATTAATCCCAGTGTATCTGTTATAATGAATATTTCAAAATAGTCTAATGTATTCTTTATGACATGGTTACACATCTGCCATTTACAAATACTTCAATACCCAAAGAAACAATCTGATTATTGAATATAAAACAGTGGCACTGAAATTACACAAATTTATTCAAAATGCAAGTTTGACTGTTTTTAAAATATTTGATGCAAATAGACTTGAATTCATAATCCTGAAATCACGCATACATGTATATATCTACTCCAGATAATGAAACTTACAGGGGTACTGTTGCATTCCTGAGTAAGCCTGGGCAAGGGCATCCAAGCTTGGACCATTCGTTGCTAAACCAGTTGTGTTTCCCAGACTAAATGAATAAAATTAAATAGCATAATTAATTTTTTTTAATAATTATCAAGTAAATGGCAAATAGTTCAAAGCTAGTATTAGTCACAATTATTTATTAATTGAATGCTAATATTGTCTACAGTGAGATATTACCAGATTTAAGTTTCTTATTTGTACATTAACACCAGAAAGAGTGAGATGAGCTCTCACAAACATATGTTGATTTCTTATATGCTAATATTGTATGTACACAAAGTAATGTTATCAGATGTACGTTTCTACTTTCATACACTTGCTCTACAGTGTACTTGTACTTCAGCTCTTGGGTTCTCTTTTTATCAAATAATTTACCAAGGAGTTTATCCCTTGTATAATAGTTCATACAGTACAAAAATATATCAACACAAATAAGTAATCTACTAAAAGGTTTAACACAAAATTTGTAATCTCAAGCTGCAATAAAAATTATAGTCATTTGAAATCTGAAAGGAAAAACAAAAAATAACACAAATGCACATAACCAATATAAAAGATAAATATAAGTATGAAAATATTTCAATATTTTAAAAATTCAACTTAATTATTAAAATAAGAAATTATAGTGAAATATAAATTGCAAAAAAAATAAAGACCAAAAAGTCCACTGCTATTAAGTTCTTAAATCATACACAATATATGAAATATATATTATACTCAGTTGTGCATCTTACCCATTCATGCCAGTTAAAGTCCCCATGCTGGAGAGAGAATTTGTGGTCATTCCAAGTGCCATGCTGGACACTGGGCTCACAGAGTTCATACCACTTAGAGAGGAGTTGGCACTGGACATGTTTCCCGATATATTGCCTTGTGTGACAAAAAGGAAAGGTCATTTATAGTACCTGGTACATTACGTGACTAAAGAGCCTATATTAATAAATGTTACTTTGTTTTCTAACTGAAAGGATAACCAGAAAGACTTAGTGAATTGCAATTGAGGGTTATTTTGTCTCTATCAGGTAGATTACACCAAAAATAGATGAAAAGAAAGATACCATAAATATGTAGAAGGTACATCATTGTTCTTGTATTGTCAGAGCTGAGAGAAATAACAGACTCAAGGTTCATGCATTTTCATAAATCAAATAAATTAATGCGACAAGATTTACAGATTAAATGTTTTAAGTTTCAAAATGAGCTTAAGTTGAAAAATAAAAATCTTGATAAAAAATTTTGTATTCTTGTCAAATTAAAGATATAAATAATATAAGATGACACACATTTATGCTAAGGTTATTATAAGCTTAAAGAACAAGCAAGACTTTCTGTATGATGAGATGATACCAAATCTTCACATCAAGTTTTTATCAGTAAATAATAAAAGAAAGAACAGTAACTTAAGGAGGAATTCTCTAACAGACTTTGAGAAATTAGGATTCATTCTGCTGATTAAACTAGAATTTCTTAGCACACTTAAAACAGGCTATACAACATAATCACTTACTAAGTACACATTCTGAAGCAACAATGGAAAACATGATTTCACACGAGACCAACAAGCTTTTCACGTAATAAACAGCATGTTTACATAAAGATTGATGACACTGTATTAATCATTAATCTAATCACACCTTTCTTTAGACACCTAATATGATGGAGTAATGATCTGTTAATAACTAATGTTGTACAACAAAAGTATATTTTTTCAAATCTGTGAGTTTTTACTGGTCTTAAAATCTATTTTTATGCACTTATTATTCAGAAACTTAAAGTTTTATTTTTGATATAGTGTAATTTTCCAAATATAATATGCATTTTTTTAGAAGTTTAATATACGGTAACAAATCTAAATGTTTTTGTCTTCTTTTACAGCCAATCCAGACCATCTTTTCTGACAAGCATTGTAAATGATAACACATACTTACTAGAAATGTTGCATTTCAGTGGTATGTCTTATTAACCATCTCTGTTTCTAAGGCATAAATGAGAAATGTTTCCCATTTTCAGTACCTTTAAACATGATTTTTGAAATAAAATAATCAAGAAGCTAAGTCTTGTAATTTTTACAACTTATTTACATGCATACTAAGAAATGTTTGAAAATACAAAACTAGTTATCAGTACGTTATGTTTGCTTTTAAAAAAATACAAATTGTTTTTGGTGAAACCTTTAAATTCTGAGTCCGAATCACTGTCCTTAAATAGGTGGTGCAACTTCTCTATCATCTTATCATCATCACAGTAGCATTATTATCCCATAGGATGTCATCTTCTCAACCATTCATGTCATTTGTGAGGCAACACTTCTTAACTCTCTCACAATGAGGTTGGTCGAACTGACAGACCTCGTAAATCATTTGATACTCATTATATTTCCATACTATAACTTTTACTACAGTATGTGTATCTTCACAAAATTTGGCAGACTTTTAGTAAACATTACAAGTCTTTTGTACCCAAAAAATCAGATTTTTTAATGGAGTATTTTTTCTAAAGATTTGTCCATGAATACAGTTTTTTTATTAGTCCATGTGCAAAGAAATTTCCATGTTAAGATTAAAAATGGTTTTCTTCGTCTCACATTTCATTTGCATAATCTCTAAAACCTCCTAAATAAATTTAAAAGATTATATTTTTCACTAAAACTTTATATTTTATCTATTATTTTCTCAACTCTAACTCTATACAAAGTTGGTTAATTTCATTAAACTCATAACGACCAAAAAAATCTAAATCACCTTTTTTTTTTCTAGAATGACTTCAAATTGTAACATGAAACTACAATCATTTATCCTAAATAGCTTTTAAACTCGTAACTGCATACATACACATATAATTAAATTTTTTTTATTTCCCATTGAACTGTGTCTTAACTTCTATTCATGCCATTATAAGTTGTAAATCACTTAGCGAACATGTAGCTCATGTTACACAATGGAATTACTTTATGCACGAGCTACTTGCGAGTGTACCTCCCGAAAAATTATTATACATTTTACATAATGTAACCTTAACTAACCTAAAAAGTTTCCTATTTTCACATTTTAGTTATTTTTATAATAATAAATAAAGAATACATGTGAATATTTCAAGAAATAAAGTACTTACCTGGGTCCTTTTTTTCTTTTTTGCTGTCAATTGTACACGACACTTAACACTACTTTTTTTATACTAATGATACTACTGCATTAAACAAGTTTTTATTTAAATAAATAATGCTCCAAAGAACACATGTTAATACCATGCAAAAAGCAAAATATGTTCCATAACTATCACAAATTTTCTGGCTTTCTAACTAAGCTCATTGGTGTGTCTCCCATGGAAATAAAGCTTGAACTGGAAGTGAGACTGACAGTCTCCTGTACAGAAAACAATGTAATATAACAGTCATTTGATAGAGTAAAAACTTGGCCTTCTATTGGTTATAAATAATATGGTATTGAATGTCAGAGAGAACTACTGGAAATTTCTGAGAGAGAGAGAATGTGGTAGGTGGGCATAGCAAGAGGGGTCTGATTTTCTATTTGATGTCTCTGTACCCAAATACAATTGAAGATTACAAAAATTATGTTTTGTTCGAGTGATGACAACATTATAATGAGTACTTTATGATAAAAGAGGAATGCCTAGAGAGAAAATGTCACAATTCTTATACTAGGTGAAATTGAGGATTGTTTTTAATATTGCCTTATAAAATTAATAACTTAAAACTTATAAAATATTAAAATATGGATAACTGGCTAAGTATATATGCTATATTTATCGGTATACCATCATAAGAAAGTAGTTTAATTAAACTTTGAATGCAACTCACTAAAACTCATGATATGCGCGCAAAAGAGTTAAAGCCATGCTGATGTTATTTTAGGCTTCTTTGATCCATCGAGTAATAAGCAATAGGTCTGTACTCCAGAGTAGAGCCAATCATTACACTTTTGGGACATTTGTTGCTTAAGTGGTTGGTTGTAGCTGAACTTATCCTTTCAAAATTTTATGAATATTCTAACATTTTGACAATGTTTATTTGTAGGCTGCAATTGCAAAGATAGCAAGCATTGAAGTGAACATGCAATTAGAGATTATATGAACACTTTAATATTCTTGCCATCAAAAGGTTACTTTAACCACATATTACAAAAGTCTGAGTGCATACTATTTATGGTGTTAAGGCAAATTTGACTCTTTTGTTCATGAAGATTAGTGTGTGTATTAATATCTGGGAGCATATCATATTTGGAAAATTATGGTACTTAACTGAAATTAATCCTGAAGAGATCTATTGATAGTTTGAAAAATAAAACAAAATTACAGTTATATTTAATGTTTCTAAGGCTATTAATTTTACATATAAAACATTATAAACTGGAAAGACTAAATGACATTTTGAAAAAATTGACACCAGTCAGGTAACTTAACAAACAAAGATTAATGTGCTGTATTCCAGAACATGCTATAATGAGGAAATAATGTTAAACTAAGAACAACAGAGCTTAGGAAGTGCTAACAATCACACAACATGGTCTAACCTGATAACCAACAGTACATATCTACAAACATGACAGCACACCAAGACACTGATGAAGCAAGTACTGGCCTGAAACACAATACCAAATAAATCTTTAACTGTTAAAATCAAAGCAGGTGGGTCAATTATGAAACTGAAAACATACATGCAGACATTTCTCACCTGCTTTGACAGCTCTACCAAGGACAGCTGTGTCCCGAGGCAATCAATGAAGAGTCAACCAACCCAACCAAAAGAAGGAAAAAAAAATGTGACAGTTAGTTAGGTAAATCAAATGATTAGGGAATGTGCCATGCCATACATGGGGTAAAATGTACTGAGGTAAAACAAGCTTTCTGATCTAAATCAATAAAATGAGTACAATTTATATACCCATTTTTTCTCCATATATTATCATTACTAAAAACTGAATAAAATTTGTTATATATTTTCTTTAATAATTTCTACAATAAAAAATACTAATAACAATAAAGAAAGATACAATTATCTTGTTTGCACAAACTTGTAAAAACCTATGTTAGCTCACAATTATGAGAAAATTAAAAAGCAGCTTAAGAAAAACTATGAAATAGATGTAAATGCATAAAGTGTTCAAACCAGGATAAAGTCATGCACTTAAATTATCCAATATATTTTTATTTGACATATTCATAGAGAAAATAGGAGAGAATTCAAATAATTTATGAAAAAGTAACAAAAGCATATTGATTTCAAGATTACTGGTAGTAAGCATGCTCACTATTACCCATGGTAAACTTTCCTTGCTACAACTATGGTATCTAAATAAAATTACAGTGAATAACTAACTTGATTTAATAATTTCCAAGAAATTACAATTTAATAATGTGCCTAAACCATTCATAAAATATTTTTGGGGAGAAGAATATGAACATGCAAAGATTTAAAATTCTTTTTTGCAAACATTAAATACAAAAGTTTGTTAGATCAGTTACACTTTTTTAGTTTTCTCAACTAAAACATAATCGCAATAACCATACACACTTGTTCATGTGCTTTTAAACTATCTACAGTTAGAAAGTAACTAATATCAACACTTGACACATTTCCAGTTTGGATGAAGAGTATCTAATAAGTGCTAACACTGGAAATAACCAAGATAAAATTAATTCAACACAAACAACAACCCACAGGTCTAGAAGTTTATACACAGACTTATTTTGGAAAATAAATTACTAGATGAATGCTTGTACAACTGCAATTTAATTTTTTGTGTGGTGCTTCAAACTTAATTTTTACAAACAACCACCCAGTTCTTGACTAGAGATGAAAAACAAAAAATTTCTGTGTCAAGTAATAATTAAGCCTGTAATTATTATGCTACACAGGTTCTGAAAGGTTTGAGTATTACCTTATATTTCAATTTCATGTAAAAAATGGTTGGGGATAATGTAACTACACGTTACATTAGAAATTGAAGAAGCAAACATTTTCTAAATTAGTTAATCTCTACAATGCACTAAAGAGAAATGCAATTTTTAGTTTGTTTATTAAGGTTAAATAAGGTACTATCTCACCAAAAAACTTCTATACTAGGACTAGAATTGTGAACAAAAGACTGCTTTTTTTTTCCAACTGGTAGTAAGATAAGTTAACACAGTTAATAAGTTACTGAAAACCCTTGGTTCCTGGAATACTTGTCTAAACTCTACTTTTATATGACATACTTTCATAAAATTACTTCTTGTAAAAGTCACTTCAAATATATAATTTCATTTAATTTTTTTTTTCCCACAGAAGTAGTGGTTACAATTCAACACGATCTTCACTTACAACATATCATTAACGCTCCAGCCATGCTTTTACCTTTACTATTCAAAGTTCTTAAAAAGTGTTTACATTCTTTGATTAAATTATATGATTTAGATTTTCATAAAATCTTAAAGTCATTTTAGTCAGTTATAGAACTCTGTCAAAAAAGAATTTGAAAACTAGAAGGGTATGTTGAAGTGCTCATAGATGAGTTTTAATTGACTTTATCTTTAGGATTTTATTTTATTTTTTCTTTGTGAAAAACTAAAAATAAATAAGTGTTGCTGTGCTATTTTTAGAAATTAAATTGTACAAGTTAATTTTGGCATGGCAGGTAATACCTTCCTCTATTTACTTCTTTTATCATTTCATCTGTGTTTCAAGAATTCTGTGGCAAACTTAAAAGAAACTCCCATTTTACTTTAACAGCCTAAACTTCTTTTTTGTCAAAATTTTTACCATTATTGGCAAAATCACTTTTTCTTTTTGTGTCAGATTAAATGATTGAAGGTGTAAAATTAAAAATATTTGTTTCTGTGAGAGGTCACTTTGAGACTAAGCTGTAGCTCTCACCTGCTGCTGACAGGCCAGGAATCCCTGTTGAGTTGTTCCCTCCACCAGCAGCTGCTAATGCTGCCAGGTTTTGAACCATCATAGAATTAAGTCCAGCTATGATTGAAAAACAAACATAAATAATTATTGAGCTCAAGGTGAATTATCAGTTACTACACATGGTTTTACTTTTAAGACTATCATATGAAACTCAATTCACAATGCAGTTTTTTCCTTCAAAAATTATTGCACGATATCCCATACAATGTTTAATTATATTTATCTTAGTGTAATTACTAAATAAAATGTTTTGTAATTGTATCATTGATAATAAATTTCATAAAAATGTTCAACACAAAGTTTTGAGTTCTTTTAACATTATACCAGGAAATTTACTAATCAGAAAAAATAAAAACAGCAAAATAGTTTAAATGAAGAAGTATATGATTTAACAAGTATTATCATATCTAAGACTAGAAACAGAAACATAACAAACAGTACTGTTCACAAACATCAAAAACCAACTTAGTTTATAAATGTTGGCAATGTAATATTTTTTTATATTCTGGGAAGATACATATATTTTATGGTTGGCACACAACAAATATTTTCATTCCATGTTAACAATGTCTGATACTATGCAAAGACCCATTTAGTTCTTCAGTAACAATACCTTACCTACAGTTTAGACATAACAATATCAAGTACTTTATCTGCGTCAATCACCAGTCTCATTCTACAGTAACATCACATCTTACCTACAGTCAAAACTCCATAAACTCATTTTACCCATGTCAAAGACCCATCTAGTTCTATAGTACCAATATCACACCTAAAGTCAAGACCTTGTAGCATTTTGTCTTAGCTACATCAAAGACCCATCTAGTTCTACAGTGACAATACCTTACCTACAGTCAAGATTTCATAACATCTTGTCTAAGCCACAAAGACCTATTTAGTTCTACAGTAACATTATCTTAACTGTAAGTAAGACCTAATAATATCTAGTGCATTATATCTGTCAACCACAGTCTAGTTCTACAGTAACACCAAATCATATATACATTCAAGATCTCATAACATCTTGTTTTATCCACATCAAAGACCCATCTAGTTCTACAGCCAAACCTTCATAACATCTTGTTTTAGCCATACCAAAGACCCATCTTGTTCTATAGTGTCAATATCATACCTACAGTCAAGTCAAGACCTCATAACATCTTCTTACTTTCATGGTACATGTCAAACCCTAATTTATTTTACAGTAATATCTTGTCTACAGGCAAGACATAATATCTTCTTTTTAATGTGTTAATAACCCAACGAGTTCTACAGTAACAATATCATAATTACCAACAAAGCCTAATAACCTGTAATGTTTATATATATATATCTACATGAATGACCCAAAAAAGTTTTCCATGATCTCTACAAAATAACTTTTTATATCCAGAACTAAAATAAGCTACTATAGACTGATAATCTTCCCTAGTTAAAACTGTGGCTAAACTTTCACATATTTTATAATACTGTTGAAGTACATAACATGACAGAAATACAAATCATGCACACATATAAGCACATAAAGATCAAGCAGAAAGTAAAAAAAAAATTCTTTCTAGAATCAACACTTTTTGTGAAGCTATCTATGTATGATCAAGTTTTGTTTTTTATTTTAAAGTATATTTACTTAAATTATGCTTTTAATAATATATGGCCTGTCATTACTGCATTTATTTCATCCATCATATAATCTTCAAGCAAAAGACAGTCATTATGCAACTAAAAAACATGATTCATAATAAAAGAAAAGGGCTTACATAATTCCTACCCAACAAGTGTAAAAAAAATATGATGCAGGTATTCTTCAAGGTTTGAACACAAAATTAAAGGTTGTTTTAATTAAATGTATGTAAAAATTATTGTGGATATATTTTATTTGAAATGCCAGCACTATTTTTTACTTTAGCCCTTGTTAGGCAAAGCTGAAAAGCAAGAAACTTTTAAGATCTTTCAAAAACAGATAGAAATAAAAAATTTACAAACGTAAAATACACAAGTTTACTGTTCACTTATCAGCTTAGTGGTTTTAATTTGACACACAACTGAGCTTTCTCTCACATACACATTTCTTACAATTTTATATTTAGTTTTAATACTAACTGATGATATTTCAATGGAAAAACTAAAGGGTAAAAATCTTTGATATGTACAGTTTTATGCTTCTATTATCACAATAACTTGATATCATTTTACCAACTCCAAAGATCTTGTATTCTTCTAGAATTGTACCACACACAAAACCAGAAATAAAACCAGACAGTGCCAACAAAACCAAGCCTCAGTTCTAGCTGTTTGTTTTACTTACCAGGATTGTTGGTTATGTTAGCTAGCGCGGCAAGGCTTTGTAAGTTGGCTGCACTTAGATCTGGAAGAGGCAAGAAAGCATCTTTGTTCAGGCTACACTGACAAAAATAAAATATTGGAGAATCTAAGCATTAAGGGAAAGGATAGAAGATGGTAAGAGTTTACAAAGATAAGAATTGGAGTTTTTTTCTGAGACAATCCAAAAAAAAGCAAAGACACCACAATATCAACAAAGAAATATTCACAAATGAACAAGTGAAGAGGAAAGAGAAGAACACTGACCTGAGGAGCTATTCCCTGATGTAGGTAAAGATAGACCTGCAGTGACCCCCTGACTGGTCAGCCCCTGAAGACTCAGGGAGTTGATGCCTGAATGAATACAAAGGTTACAGACCGGACAATAAGGAAAGATCTGTACAATGGACAAACCACTAAACACAGACATCAACTCCTTGCTGGTGTTACTGAATAGTTTTTGGCTATTCTACAATATACACACTTCTACTGGTTTATAAATTACATTCATGGGATGCTCTAAAAGATAAGACATTCTATGCATTTACAAAACAGTTCTTATTAGTTTGCAAGATACAAGTTAAAGATTTTCTGACTGACCTACTGATGCAACTTAACAATGAAGTCTTGGATAATGAACAATACCAAAGGCAAATGTTTATTGATTCTCATAAATAAAGAATACTGTATTAGTCTAATAATGGCTGGAGACGGCTTGAATGGGTAATGAAGAAAAACTTTAATATAAGTTTAACATAACAGCAAATGTACAACGTTTCGACAAGGTTTTGTCATTACCTGATGATGACAAAACC